GAAGCAGCCTGTCAATCAATTAGTGCGTTAACGAAAGGCAATCCATATATGGGTAGCTGGGAAACGGAGAGATTAGAAGTTTGATGGTTTGTAGCGTGCAAAATACTCATGTCATCTGTCACCAACAACGTTTTAACGGTCATAAAAGGCGGAATAAAATAAAAAGACCATTAGCAATGAGACAAAAAAGAAACAAGACGAGACAGCTTTTCATCGCTGGTCAGAGCTGAGTGCTTTAACACGGGATGTGATTCCGCTTGACCTTGACAGGTAAACATACGGTTACGCCGAGAAGGGTATAACTGCAGCCTGGAGATCTCCAAATGGGGGCGGGAACTCCAAAACGGGGTGGGAGCTCCAAAATAGGGCGTGGCTTCCTCCCATTGACAGACAGGCACATGACACGCATGCGCACTTTCCCCCCCAATCAACTTCAGTGCAAACTCCACCCCACAGCTGATTCTAAAGATTTTATTGGTTGTGTCAATTAAAGTGTTGATTTCCTACACTATGCTACAAAAAAAGCTAACCCATAAACCTACCCCACACCTGACTTTAACCTTAACCAGTGAAATTGACTGCACGGCGGGATTGGCGCTGAATAGCGTGGTAAAGAAAGATGCAGTTCAGGAGATAAACAGTTAATAAGATTATGCCATATGAGATCGTTCCGTAACTCCCCAACCGGACCTCACCGGACAATGGCACCTTTTTAGTTACACCCAGCGTCACTACACCCTCCTACCCTGCGAAATTCGTGCCCCGGGATGCCCCCGTTGCTTGGAACAAAGCGATAGAGTTAAATCGTTGCGCTGCGCTGCGCTGGGAGAGCTCGTGGGTGATTCCCGTTTATATCATGAAGCAGAGGTTCAAACTCCAGTCCAAACACCACTGGCCACGAGCTTTGGGCTCTGCTCTCACGGAGAATATTTATTTATATAGCATATTTTATTTTAGATGAACTAGAAACAATGTTTAATTTATAAAGTTTTATTTTGAAATGTAAGTCAATAACAATTGGCTGGAGCCAGAGCCAATGGTGAAAGTCTTTGCGCGACGAGACCCCGCCCCATTTTGGAGGTTCTTCCCACTTTTGGAGTTCACGCCCCATTTTGGAGATCTCCGGTCTGCAGTTATATCTACTTGGTTACGCCAGGCAGCATTGAAAGAAGGGGCGTGGTTACATCTGGCAGAAGTTATAAGGTGCGTTCGACTTGAAGCACGGCTACAGACGGCGATCAACGAGAGTAGCCGCTTGCAGTCGGGGGCGGAGGTGAAAACGGAGCCGTCAAGCCGGACACTTTCTGCTC